GATCGACCCACGAATCTCTTCTTCATGCACTTTCATACGAAATGAAAGTCCTCCCAACAATCATATCTCATATCGAAACCCAGTTTCTCCTCGTATCTGAAAAGATATTTGTATGGAAATCATAACTTGGTCTGATCAAAAAATGAAGGAGGATTACTCCGAAGGGAAGACTGTTGGATTGTGTGAAGAAGTCCTCGAAGCTCTGTCCTTCAACTCCGATGTCTGTCACATGGCAGACGAAACCGAGGACTTCATCACACTACCCAACAGTCTTCACTCCTCTTCTATCCCTTTTCGTTTTCCGACGATACTAATTTAATAATTTCTTTGAATCAACTTTTTCTTTGAAAAGTAATTTCATGTCACACTGTAGAGTTTACTTCGGTCCAAAACAAAAACCTTTTAATTAGTGGCTTATGCATTTTTGATTTATTTTTTCGTGTGTCATGTATTGGGAGTAGTAGTTCTTTTTGGAACAGACTATGGATATCCTAATGCAAAAATTTATTATTTTGAAGTAGGCTGTGCGAAGGTTGTCCGAATCGCGAACATCTCTTATTTTAAAAAAGGACACAATTGGTAATAAGAACAACTAAGTAAACAAAGCTGTGTCTGATATAAGTGTTGGGCTGAGGGTCAGTAAAAAATGTATCCGCATCAACTGCTGTGATGGCTCCGGGCCGAAAATATTCCTTATATACTATACGGCTCGATATGGAAACTTATTATTGCCGAGCTTACGAGATGTTGATGCACATCACTTGTGGCCTAAACAATTCGGTTCCAGAAATTCGAACAAAATAAGAGATGAGGAGTCAAAAGCCATTGATGCTAAGGGCTCGAATAGAGTTTTTTTCAACATTACTAATGGCCATTTGCCACTAAGGGATTGCAATTCAAAGATTGAGTTGGGAAAATTTACTTATAAAAATCCATATTGAGCAGTCTAATAATAATGAATTTTCCAAATTAAAAAAATAAAACGAATCTTTGGCTCTTGCAACTATCTGGTGCGCTTTTCCTGGCTGTGTCTTTCTTTTGTTGTTGAGTTTTCTAAGTCCACTTTGTGGTTTGATATTCCCAAGCGATAAATACAGTAGCGATAAGGCAGAGGAACAACATAAGCCTTATTCATTGCACCATGTTATTAACATAAAAATAATTTGCTTGATTATCTTTGTTCTCAAATGGTCACATTCTGCCGTCAAAACAGATGCAGTGTGTAAATTCATGTTGTGACTGACAAGTTTAAGTGTTATCGCCATATTTATTTCCATATTTCAACTACCACTTACTTCGACTTTGAAGGATTTCCTCATATTGGTTTTAAAGATTTTTTCTTTCGATCACATTTTACTCTGCCTTTTACTTCAAAGATTTTGCATTAGAATACAACAATTTGGAGGCTAATAGATTTAATCATGCTATCCCATTGATATCATTGTCTCCCACATCGTTACTAGCCTAATCCTTACATGTGGTTAAAAATAAAAATCTTGAAGTTGGCTGTAAGATTTATATTCGCGTATGCTAATGAGCTTGGTTTATAACCTCTCTTAATTTCTATTCTCCATTTCTCGTTTGCACAAATACGGCATATATGGACTTAAATTTTCTCATTGCAGGTACACTAGCACTTGCTTATCGTGAGGCGTATATTCAGTCTAAGCGTCAAAAAATCTCTGTTATGCGATGGGTAACCTCGGGTGCCGATCCCAGCACCAGTGTCGTCTTCCTAGAGGATTTGGCAGCCGTCCTTGGCGTAGTCGTCGCCAGCACTGCAATGGCTGTCTCCGCATGGACAGGGCAAACCTGGCCTGATGCCCTGGGTGGCGTTCTTGTGGCTGGTATTCTCGGTTCTGTAGCTTTTCAGATTGTTCACTCCAACACAGAAATGTTGATCGGAAAGTGAGTTAGATTTTAATCTATAAGCATTTTTTCTGCATTCCTTAGTTCTCCATCATAATTTATATTGTTCCATTGGTCGGACTTTCTTCAACAATTGTAAAACAATTTTAATATATAATTCCCAAAGCCTATCTAAATAATTTGATGGATTATCTTCTTTGGTTTACTTATCTTTGCTAGGTGTTTGGATTTATCTCATTTTGCAATTTATTTTACATTAAATCGCCACTGAACCAAATTGATTCTGCTTAGTCAGTTTGAATAATATTAATAAGTTCCTGAGGCAACTGGTAATTTTGCTCCAAACAGATCGATCTTAAGATAGTTTTCTCCTCCGTCCCTAATTGATCTTATCTCTTGTCACGTTTCAACAAGTCACAACTTAAAAGATCTTAGTACCTTAGGTCGCGTAAGGAGATTTAAGGACTTAAATTTACCTTTCTCGCTATCAGATAAGTAGGTCTCTTGATACCATTGCATTTTGCTTAGTCTTGCCTCTCCCTAGGCATTATCATCCTGAGTGGACCGCCGTTTCGATCTAGCCTAGGTCTCATCAGCATCTCCAGAGGGATTCAATACCGGATTGTGAGTATTGTGGTGATGTTACTACTCCATTCCAGTACACGTTAACGGGTCCCAATAGGTTACAAGGTAAAGGCGGCATTCAAGGCAAGCTAGGCGTACCCCAACTCACATTTACAGGGGGATTGTGCTTTCCATTTCAATCGACAACAGTACTTATTTTAGATGTAAGTAGTTTTAGAAGCTACCATTGCTTCTTTCATGAAACTTATTTATCTCAGCTCTCGAAAACTATTTATATCGACGAAAAGTCAGCTTATTCCTTGAATGTTTGCTCCCTTGCTTTGGCATTCTACTTAGAGTCATTGCACTTGGCAAAATCACATCAGCTCTCGCCTGCTATAAATTTGGCAGCAAATTTTTTACCTATCACGGATTCTGCTTTTTTAACCTTAAGAATTTCAACAGGCTTTCGCTAGGCATTCTTCACTCTCTACTTTGAAGATGCAGATATTTGGTCTTTTATAACAACATCTGCACTTCATAGCCAATACAAAAACTCAAGTAGCGATGATTTGCTTTCTACCAGTTTGATGAGGATCTATAAGCATTCGTCAGCATTAGTTATCCAGGGTAGTTTTATGGAGCCTATTTGTCTGATGTGGCCAACATTTTCCAGTCGACATTGTATTTAGATCTGGCTCTAGTAGAAGACAAAACTCAAGTGCTCTTTGGGTAGTTGTATATATATGAGTTGTGTCAACCTATTTCGTTTAATGTGATGAAGGACCAATAGTCAAATTTTCCCACAAAAATATGAGTAGAGCTGATGTTTCCATTTAATTTTACATTTTCTTGCTTTCCCAAAAGTTGTTCTCATTCAAGGTAGACTGTAGTTTCGACCTCGTCTAGGTCTTACCAAAACCCCAATCTGAAGTCAACCATGACATTGCAGTGTGTAAGCTCTACGCGCTAACTGCAATCCACTCTGGATGATAACAACTTTTTGGAAAGCAAGGCTATGTGAAATTCAGTCGAAGCGTCAGCTCTACTCATATCATTGTTTGAAAATTCAGCTACCAGTCCTTCTTCACCTTAAACAGAATAGGGTAAGCACAACTCATATATCTGGTTTACTCTTAATCTCTAAAACCTACTCACTTTCGAAAGCAGTTGTATATATACACGTTTTTTTATGCTTTTCGTCCTTAAAGCAGAATGGCTTTGATGGTACTATTTTTACTCAGATTTTACTGACCTCGTGAATTGAACTCAGGCTGTTCTGAACATTCCTCTGGATGTCTTTCCAGCAGCAGCGCTTCTTCATTTGAGCTATCCGTTATTGGTTGTCATTCTTCCAAGTTGCACAAATGCCTCAATTTATGTAAAGACTATTTTAACGTGGATTATTAATCCCTTTTTCGTATCATTAGTCGATTTTCGGGACCAAATATGAGTCATTCATTATTATTGTCCAAAAATTCAACTATCATTCCACCTCATCAACTTTAACTAAATAGGGGCAATTCAGCTCTTATATTATTTTATTTCTTATTGGCTTTCTTATTGTTTCGTCTTGTTTCTAAAACTCTTAAGCACTTTTACATAGGTGCATAAATAGACACATAAATTTATGTATTAATATTACCAGGGCAATTCCGGAGGAGAAACGTGAGGCCATAATGAGCCTAGTTGACAACGCTAAGATCGTACGAGGCACGTACGATATCAAGGCAACTATGCTAGGCGGGGAGATGGTTCGCTTCAAGGCTGAAGTGGACATTGACGGCCGTGAGCTAACAAAGCGGTATCTGGAAACGCTTCCATTGGACCTTTTGCTACAGGTACAACTCTTTACTTCAGCGTCCCCAAATAATCCTATTTGGTCCACTCGAAACTGTGCTCCACCCTTATTGCTCCTTTTTAGCAACCTAAGCTTTATCGAATTAAACTTATTTATCTGTTTGTCTTTTACCTTCAGAAATGCTCTTCTTAGTATATAATTCTACATTTA